AATGGTTTCTGGAATATCCCTAGACCACGGTGGACCATTTGCATATTGATGTGTGCCGGTAAGGTATAACATCACTTCAGCAGGCTTGAGAACTGAGGAAGATGAAGCCAATATACTTCTTTTCTTTGTTTGGGGCAGTGGAAGGTGTGTCTATGAATGGAACACTGCATCAGGGAGGGGTGCTGCCCTAAGTTTGAGATACCTACAAGATAACCAGAGAGAGATATCCAGCAGACACTGGGACAGCTGAAGCTAAGGGAAAGATCTGGGAGAGCAATTTTAAACCAAGAAATCAGCGGCTGATAGTAAGTCATTGGAACAACGAGCGTGTAGAAATTTGCCTAAGAGACTGTAAGTATCCAATGACAATGGACGTCGGCTAGACTTAGAGTCTTAAAGAACACCAACATCAGAGGGTTGGGAAACCCCACCAGGACAATAAGATGGCCTCTCTGCATTTAGCTCTTTCCTCTGACACCCTGTAGCTTGTGTATGTGGTCTCTTCAATGCTGGTGTCCTGAAATAAATAGGTATTTCAGGTCCAGAGCAGAGTTGAACTTTCACCTGTCTTGTTTTAGCACCTATAGTTATACTAATATAGCTTGTGTCAATATTAATGTTCTGTCAGCCATATTCTACTGTTGACTCATTTTGAATTTATAGTCAAACTAAAACCCCTGAGTTATCTTCTCATTAACTGTTATAAAGTTTCTGTAAGTTATACTAGTGCAGTTGGCTTTTGACTTTAAATGTAAGTTTTCTCTAAGTTAAGTTTTTTATCCTTTGTTCTTTGGTTACCTAGGTCATCAAGAAAAAAATGATGTATGTTTTATTACTTCAGTGTAAGAATCCAGGTGAATGGTTAATAAAAATTATCATCCAAAATATTTTTAGAAGAAACTGTGGTGTAAAGTGTCAGGCTTCACTTATCAGGGTGATGGTAAAAAATACATATCATTCTTTAATTAATATGTTCTAAATATCTGCTATTTGCCAGGCACTGTTCTAGGGGCTGGATATTCAGAAATGTAAAAAATCCAGTCTCCTCCTCATAGGGTTTATTTTCAAGGGGGGGGGGGAGATAAACGTTAGCAAATAAATAGAAATATAAAAATCATTATAAATGCCATGATGGAAAACTACAGGCACCCAGGAGAAAGAATAATTATGTTAGATGGATGAGTCAGGGCAGTCTCTTCTGAAGAAGTGGTATTAAGCTAAATGGGGAAGTGCGAGTAGGTCTTACTAAGTGAAGATAGATAGATGGGGCACAGCTTCAAGACAGATTGGGACAAATGCTAGATCCTGAAGCAGAAGAGTGTCTGTGTGTCTGAGGACCCAAAAGAAGGTTAAAGTAATTGGATGGCAGCAAGGAGTGACTGGTAAGTGAGAGAAAAGCCAGATCATCCCAGCCTGGTACACCATGTTAAGGATTTTTTCTTTTTTTCGGTTTTGTCAAATGCAATAGAAGGCTATTGAAGGGTTAAAAGCAAGAAAGTACATTTTTGCTTGAGAAAGATGACTCTGGGAGATCGGTTAAAAGGTCATTTTCAAGGGGCAAGTGAGTGATGCCAGTCGCTTTCACTGGGATGGTGGCAGTAGAGAAGGGGAGATTCATGATAGAATTTGAAAGGGTGTGTTAGGGAAGGTATAACTAATGATGCCTAGAGTCTTGTCCTGTTCAGCTGGGTGAATGGAGGTAACATTTAGTAAGATAAGAAAAACAAGAGTAGTAACAGATTTACAAATGCAGGTCAAGATTTCCAATATGGACGTGTTCAGTTTGAAAGCCTGTTAGTTGTACTAATAGTCTTGAATGTAAGAAATCACACTTCTGGCTAGAGATATAAATTTTTGAGGCCTTGACATAGAGAAAAAATTTAAAGACAATAGATAAGTTTGTGTAAGAGAGAGTATAGATCAAGAATTGGCTTGAGATCAATGCCTTGGGAACTCCAACACTTAAACATTGCTTAAAAGGACTAAGTTGGCCAAAACAATTGAGAAGGAAGAAAGGGAAAGAGAGAAGGAATACCTGACCTGAAGTTTCTTGGAATACAAAAGAAATGGGTTTCAAGAAGGAGGATGTGAATATAAGCTACTAAAAGTTCAAGTAAGCATTGTTGCCTTAAGTGCTTCTATCATAGATATGAGGTCCTTGTCAGTAGACAAGACCTATTTTTACTTTTGGGCCCCTAGACCTTGCCTAGTATTCTCACAGAGCAGATTCATAATATGTTTTTGCTAAAGCAATGAATAAGATAGCGAAACTGTATTACTTATCAATATTTGCAGAATTTTTTTAAATGCAAAATTTTTTTTATTGAGTAACATTGGATTACAACGTTATATAGCTTTCAGATGTACATCGTAATATATTTTGAATTCTTTGTAGATTATGTCATGTTCACCATCCGAAAACTAATTATAGTCCATCACCTCACATGTGAGCCTAATCACCCCTTTTCCCCTCTCCTCTCCCCACTTCCCCTATAGTAACCACCAATCCAGTCTCTGTTGCTATGTGTTTGTTTGTCATTGTTTTTATCTTCTACTTATGAGTGAGATTATAGGTATTTGACTTTCTCCCTCTGACTTATTTCACTCAGCATAATACCCTCAAGGTCCATCCATGTTGTCACAAATGGCTGGGTTTCATCAATTCTTATGGCTGAGTAGTATTCCATTATGTATGTATGCCACATCTTCTTTATCCATTCATCCCTTGATGGGCACCTAGGTTGCTTCCAAGTCTTGGCTATTGTGAATAATGCTGCAATGAACATAGGTGTGCATGTATCTTTACGCATTTGTGTTTTCAAGTTCTTTGGATAAATACTCAGCAGTGGAATAGCTGGATCATATGGTAGATCTATTCTTAATTTTCTGAGGATACTCCATACTGCTTTCCATAGTGGCTGCACCAGTTTGCACTCCCACCAGCAGGGTACGAGGGTTCGCTTCTCTCCACATCCTCTCCAACACTTGTTGTTTCCTGTCTTGTTAGTTATAGCCATTCTGACTGGAGAACAGTGATACCTCGTTGTAGTTTTGATTTGCATTTCCCTGATAGCTGATGATGTTGAACATTTTTTCATGTGCCTGTTGGCCATCTGCATATCTTCTTTTGAGAAATCTCTGTTCAGATATTTTGTGCATTTTTTAATTGGGTTGCTGGCTTTTTTGTTGTTGAGATGTATGAGTTCTTTGTATATTTTGGATATTAACCCCTTATCTGATATATGGTTTGCAAATATCTTCTCCCAGTTGTTAGGTTGTCTTTTCATTTTTTTGATGGTTTCCTTTGCTGTGTTTTTTAGTTTGATGTAGTCCCATTTGTTCATTTTTTCTTTTGTTTCTCTTGCCCCGTCAGACATGGTATTTGAAAACCTGCTGCTAAGATCAATGTTAAAGAGCATACTGCCTATGGTTTCTTCTAGAAGTTTCATGGTTTCGGGTCTTACATTCAAGTCTTCAAGCCATTATGAGTTGAGTTTTGTGCATGGTGTAAGATAATGATCTACTTTCATTCTTTTGCGTTTGGCTGTCCAGTTTTCCCAACACCATTATTGAAAAGACTTTCCTTTCTCCATTGTATGCTCTTGGCTTCCTTGTCAAATATTACCTGTCCGTAAATGTGTGGGTTTATTTCTGGGCTCTTGATTCTGTTCCATTGATCTGTGTGTCTGTTTTTGTGCCAGTACCATGCTGTTTTGGTTACTATAGCTTTGCGGGATATTTTGAAATCAGGGAGTAGGATACCTCCAGCTTTGTTCTTTTCCCTCAGGATTCCTTTGTCTATTCAGGGTCTTTTGTTGTTTCTAAATGCAAAATTAAAACTCACAATCACACAGTGAAGTGTATTTTCAGCCCCATTTTACAAATGAAGAATTGGCCTCCTGGAGAAGTTAAATTTCTTGCCGAAAGTTAAATGTCTAGTGGTATGGTATGGCCAGGACAATTCTACTGTACTATATCAAGATTCCAATTCACTCAGGATAATGGATAAATTAAGTCACATAATTAGGTATTAACATAGATTAACATGTGTTATATTAATGTACATTAAGATATATATCTTGGAGTGTATTTATATATGGCTGTGTGTATATGTGTGTCTATATTTACCAAAACTTGAAAATATGATCAAAGACAAAAACCCTGGAGTTGGCAGTCAACTCACAGAGATGGTGGCCACATTCCCTAGTATAAAGGGGTATGTGCTCTTAAATTGCGTACTCTGAGTGTCAAGGTGATTGATGGAAGGGAAGAGGCTGAGAATGTGAACTGACAGCTGCAGAGTGTTGACAGCCAGTGGGGTTGAAAACCAACAGTCATCATGAACCAAGAATTGCCCATTGCTCATGCAGATATTACACAGAAGACAGACTTAACATGCCTTTGGTGTGGAAGGAACTGCAGTTGCATATCGAGAATTCTAGCCACGTTCACACAGGAGAATCAAGTGCAGCTGCAGTGACATCTTCAGAAAGCGAGTACAGTAACCTAGAGTGAGGGAATTAGTCATACTTCACCTTCTTCGTTTCACATTGTTCGTTTGCTGTTAACAACGGTTAACGGATGGAAGGATTGTCCCTCCCCGCATGACTTCCAGTTCCCATGAGATATGCAAATCCACATTAACCAGCCCAAAAGGTGGCATGTGAAAGTGCAGGACATCTAAGATTCAGGAAATTTTCTTTGATTCAATGGATTTTATCATGATTTCATATTTGGAAACTACTTTTTCTGCAATTTCCTTTCTCTTGGTCCCTTCCTAGCTGATTGGGAGTGAAAGAGCTCATAAAGATTCTTCTCCTTCAGACACGTGTTTAAGAAATGAAGAGCCTCATGATCATTTGTCCTCAGAAGGACAAGAGTTCACTGTTTCCCAGAATTTTGATTCCTATAAAGTTCTAGCAAAGAATCACAAAATGGAGCATAATAAGTCCCTTTGTGACTCTTGGAACCTATGTTCTTAGATGGGCTCTGTATCTCACTACATAAGGTGTTTCCAATTCATGATGTTAGGTGAAGGGTCCTAGTGACACTTTTGGATAAGCAGAAGTGCATGAAATAAACTCAGCAGGATCTCTACTCTGTGGGCTCTTAATGGCTCCATGGTGTGTGGCTGTGCTTTCCCAGCTGCACATTTAATAACTTGTACAATGACATTTTGCTAATGAAGTTCTTGTGGCCTGATATGTTCAAGTTTAAAAGGAAGTTTGACTTCCGGCTCTCTTTCACTTTTAAAATAAGTGAATGAATTATTTTTTAACCAGCAAGGAATTGATTTTTCCAGTGACTTCTAAACAGAATCTCCTTACACCAGGTAAGTCCAAGTCAACCCTGTATTTGAAAATTAGCAAACATTACCAGACTTCCGACCAAAGTGGAAACCCCTAACTGATCTTTCAACTGCACAGAACAATTCTATCTTTGAAAAAAAGTGAACTAGCTTTCTGGGAAGGTTTATCTTGTCCCAGCCTGAAACTGGAACACATTAGTCACCAACATACTTTATTAAAATCTAGCAAACAGTGGGTAAAATAAAATCTCTGGTTGGTCCACTTAATTTGACTAAAAATTGTCAGTTAGCTTCCTGAAAACAGTCTAAATCAAAAGGAGGAGAGGCTGGATTCAAAGGGTGAGAAACTTAGTCAGTAACAGCTTACGCCTTCAGGCATTTCCAATAAAAAGGGGGCGATATTTTCTCCAGACAGGTCTGGAGTCTGGAGGAGATGACTCAGAATCACAAACTATCTCAGACACTTTATTTCAAGGCCATGAATGTGAACTGTGAGATTCGATGTCATTCCAATCATCAAAAGCCATGTTAAATACATGAAATGCACCTGAACATAAAGCTCAATCAAGTCTGAAAGAGGGTTTCCTCTGCTGGTGCAGTTTGAAGTTACTTTGTGATGACAATCTGTCCAATCTATACACAAATCTAGGCACTTAAAATAGGGGCTCATGAACTGGTTTGAGGGTCAAACAGTCTTGACCTAAAAACTTCACTGAGAAATGCCGTTGCTCAAGTCTCCAATTTAGACAAATTATAAACATCAGTCTGAAGAAGGGAAAACAGGGTGAGGGGACTAATATTTATTTAGCACCTTCTTTTTCCCTTACAGGCACTGTGTTAGTTAATTTACATACATGCTCTCATTAGTCTCTGTTACAACAGTATGTGGTAGGCATCGTCATTACCATTTTATAGAGACAAAGAGAAGATAAACAACCTGCTCAAGATTACACAGGGAGAAATTCAAATTCAGGTCTTCTGATTGTAAAATCTTTTCCTTCTCTTCTTAGTTATCTCCGATATGTGTTTTATAAATCAGAGGTTTGGGTGTTATTCAGTAGGATAGCATTCTTGTCAATTTTCTTGAGTTACTTCAGCACGTGGTCTTCATTCTTCTAAGTTAAAGAAAATTACGATAGCTAACACTATTGAATGACAGAAACTACGCCAGGAATTTTACATATAAAATCTTCTTTAATCTCTGTAAAAAGCCTATGACAAGTTCTAGCTCTCATTTTACGGATGGGAAAATAGAAGCTTGCAACACACATTGCCTGGCATCACACAGATCAGAAGTGGCAAGACAAGGATTTGAACCTGGGTAGTCTGATTCCAGACTTGTTCCCTCAGCCATTATGCTGAGGTTAAATATACAGGCATACTCCACACATTTGCTTTATAAAATTGTTCTGGTCTTCTTTATTCTCTTCAGAAATAGAGTCACACCAACAATGGAACCAATAAGGAACCTCATTCTTTGTGCACATGCTATGGCTGGCTCCTTCCCAAATGATGAGGTTCGATCCTGGGAATGTAGCTGTTTTGCAGTCGAATGGCTCATTTTGGTTGATGGACTCTCATTAAGATGATGAACCAACCAGTAAAAGCTAGTGGCCTGTAACTTATGTATTTATATTGGCAGATCAATTATCAAAAAATTTTAAATATTGCTCAACAGAATTGCTTGCCATAAAAGTAAGAGGCCAACAGACTGCAGTGCGTGGCTTGAGTACACATTCTGACACACCAGACCTTAACCACAATCGTGATACTTACTGTAGAGAAGAAGAGTGTGCCCTCTTTAGAACTTTCCTTTACAGCAGAGAACTTTATCAACATAACCAACATGAAGCAAATAGGCTTCAAATTCAATTTTAAAGAAAACCACCTCTCATATACTTTGATGCATTTTTCATCATTCTTAAATATCATCACTAACAGCTAAGGTGTTACTACAATCTTATTAAAACATGTCAACTCAGTTCATTTGGAGACATCATGAAGTTTCAGTTCTCCCTAAAGCTTATATAAGAGCAAGGAAGGCCAACTGTTTCTTCCTGAAGAGATGTCGTCGCTTTTCCTCCACCAAAGGCCGAAGAGATAATACAGTTACACATTTGTGTCTTCACACTGATAGCAAAACTCATGTTTTAGTCATACAAAGAGTAATTTTCAATGCTTTCATAGAACAGAGAGAAAACATCTTCCAAAATGATGCTAGCTAATAGAAGTTCCACTAGGTGTTTCTTACAGTTTTAAAATTTTAAATGTTTTATCTTTTAATATCTGGGTTTGACCCCAGAAGAAGCCAATAGCTTTTCTAACTCATTTTCTTTTTTCAAAGATTCTCAACGACTTTCTCAAAATGGCCATAGTGTCTTCATTCAAATTTCCCTTCATGGCCAGTGGGATCCCACAGCCCTTGCCTGGGAAGGGTAATCAGGAGGCAGAGTTAAGCATGCCAGGACAAGGTTGGCCTCTGGTCACGAGGTGCAAAACTGAGGAGAAGCCAGAATCCAAACATTGGAGTGAAGGTAGGGCCAGGAAGCATGGGGAGGGGAGTTCCAAAAGTTCTGTTCCCAGGGAACAGTCCTGAAGGAGGAAGTAAATGCACATTGAGGGATCTGCAACAAGGACCAGGCAAGGCTTAAGACTCTGAGCCTGGACAGGTGTCCTGAGCAATGGTAAATGGAAGAATTGGAGCCGTCCCAGTTAGGCCAACATAATTTAACAAGACTTTCACGTTGGCCACAAGCTTGTTTAGATATTCTTGAATGTAAACACTTCTAAATATAACTGAACAAAAATTAGACAAGATTTTATGCTGACATAAGCTACTTCTGTCACAAGTTGAATCTTCACATGGCAATTCTCTGTTTAACCAGAATATTTGCCCACACTTTTAGTGCTAAGATGCATTGTCCTGAGGATCTTGCCCTCTGCTCAGGAGCTCAACTGCATGTCTCTGGTCCTTCCCAGAATGACAACACAAAGTGCTCAAAAGTGAAAATGGTTATTAGCCACTGTTTATGTGGCATTGTAAACATAATATAGAGTGTGGGGGAGTTTGGTTTCTTAAATATAACAGTTTATTTTGGTGAAATTACTATAACTTTTAAATCTCTTTCATTGTGTTCCAAAATCTGAGCAATTCTTTTAATTAACGTAATTGTTTTTGTTTTTCAATTACATGTACGTGTTTCACAAGTAACATGGTCATTTTCTCTGCGCTTGGGCAGGTCTAAGCCCCAGACAGACAAGAATGAGTGTGCAGCTGGTTTTAATCTACTTTCCCGCATGTAGCATTACTCAGTGCGTGAGAACAGCTAACTGGTTCCACCTAAGAGAACGCAAAGACTCCTCAGAAAAATGACATCCATAGGTCACAGCAAAACTCGTTTGCAGGTCATATTTTAGCTCTTTTCCCCAAACCTCATACTTTTAACTCTTCTCCAGGAACTTTAAACATTTAGAAAACAAAAATATCAGGCTTAAGTTTCTCTACTGAAATAAGATGGGGAAACAGTTGTATTTGGCATCAGAATTTCTGGGATCAAAATTAATTTTCCCCAATTCCTGACAGGGTAAACATGGAGACATCACTTCATCCTCATGAATGTTCACTTGCTAAACAATCAAATAGGAGCACCAATCCTTTTTTTTTTGTCTTCACTGTCTCTCAAGACTGCTCCTTATATCAACTAAAATATAATGAAATAGTTCAGTACATTGGAAAACACAAAGCAAATATAAATAATATTTATTATATTTTCTCTTCTTGCTATTTTGTCAGTAAAAGGTGAAAGCCACCATGTCTTCAAATAGCCAAAAGGTAGTGGGTGGGTCAGTATCAGGGCTGCCACATACAGCTGTGCATTTTGTACACTGCGCAACTAGGGCTGTCAGGATGAAGCGAAGAGGGGCTTTAATCCAGCCTGAGATCTACTGACAAAGCCATGTACCCTGGCATGAGGCTGCTTTACTTATTTATTTTTGCTAATTAACGCAAAAGGACCATTTGTCTTAACAGAGGCCTGGATGGCACAAGAGAAATCAGGGCTCTGTGAAATCAGTCCTGAATATTAAATTAAATATATTTGTAATATCATTCAATTATGTACCTCTCAAAGTAAAGAATTTGGAATCAAGAAACCTGGATTCTAGCCCTGACTTTCCTGAAAATCAATAATTTTAAGCAATTTCCTTAGCTACCTTGGGTTTCTGCTTGCTAATTTGTAGAATGGAGAGGTTACCTTCCATCTAACCTGGATAGTTAAATTAAATGCAAATATATTTCCCTAGTACTCTGAAAATATAGACATGTTAATCGTTCAGTGGATGGTTGCATTGCATCTTCTCCAATTATTCGCCTTACTTAAAAATTCTTGACAATCTGTGATTGATTCCTAAGAACAATAAGCTCAATATTTAAAATCTAGAAAACTCATGTAGTCAACCACCACCTGGTGCGAATGAGGCCTGGTGTTCTTCACCCATGGCAAAAGACCCACACCCACTCTCTATCTTCTTTCTTCATCATGTTTGGTCTGCAAATTCCCTTACTCATCTCACTAAAAAATTGCTTGCCGGCTATTGTGTAAATGATAATTGATTTAATTATTTTAGCCTAAACAAACAAAGCCCACATCACAAGATGAGATTAGCCGCAGGCATCTCCAAGGTTTGAAGTTCTAAGGCATCCAATTTAAATTGCACGTTAAACAGTAAGTTCACAGTTTCATGAAGAGTGTGGGAGGAAGGGGCCTTATGGAGCATCAAGTTCAGCTTCATTGTTTTGTAGAGAAGATCTTGAGGCTCTGAGTGGAGCAGGGACTGGCCCCGAATCACTCCGTCATGAGCAGCAGCATCCAAATCAGAAACCAGGACATCTGTCTCTAGGTTCAGTGCTTTTCCAATGACATCATGGTTTGGCTTTGCCAACTACATCTTTTATCATTCTCTCTCTTGTTCACTAAACTCTTGAACCTCCTAGGGCTGCATCTAGTGTCTTTGCACAACTTCAG